GCGTGTGGGGCTGAGATCTCTGCTAGGAAGTGTGTGTGTGTCTGTGACTGTGTCTTGGATAGGTAGATATATAACGTTAACTTACACGTTTATGTGCACCAGTATTTCGCAACTAATGTCGCAAGTTATTAGGAGAAGCTAGGAGAGATTGGACAGACTGAAAGAAATCAATATCTTGCAGGGTTTATATGAAAGAGAGGAAACGAAGGAGGCCGATAGACCAACAGGAGAGAGTGCGGACTCCACAAGAGCCGTCTGATCAGGGCACGGAAGAGTGGGGGCCGACGGAGCCACTGCGGCGGCCTTGTCCTTTTTACACCACCCGCTCCCCCACCCCCTCTAAGCAACCCCTTAGGCCAGACGAAGCGACCTGCATTTCTCTCTCTCTCTCTCTCTCTCTCTCTCTCTCTCTCTCTCCTCTCTCTCCTCTCTCTCCTCTCTCTCTCTCTCTCTCTCTCTCTCTCTCTCTCTCTCTCTCTCTCTCTCCTCTCTCTCCTCTCTCTCTCTCTCTCTCTCTCTCTCTCTCTCTCTCTCTCTCTCTCTCTCTCTCTCTCTCTCTCTCTCTCTCTCTCTCTCTCTCTCTCTCTCTCTCTCTCTCTCTCTCTCTCTCTCTCTCTCTCTCTCTCTCTCTCTCTCTCTCTCTCTCTCTCTCTCTCTCTCTCTCTCTCTCTCTCTCTCTCCTCTCTCTCTCTCTCTCCCTCTCTCTCTCTCTCTCCCCTCTCTCTCTCTCTCCCCTCTCTCTCTCTCTCTCTCTCTCTCTCTCTCTCTCTCTCTCTCTCTCTCTCTCTCTCTCTCTCTCTCTCTCTCTCTCTCTCTCCCCTCTCTCTCTCCTCTTCTTCTCTCTCTCCTCTTCCTCTCTCTCTCTCTCCTCTCTCTCTCCTCTCTCTCTCTCTCTCTCCTCTTTCTCTCCTCTCTCTCTCTCCTCTCTCTCCTCTCTCTCTCTCTCTCTCTCTCTCTCTCTCTCTCTCTCTCTCTCTCTCTCTCTCTCTCTCTCTCTCTCTCTCTCTCTTCTCTCTCTCTTTCTCTCTCTCCCTCTCTCCTTCTCTCTCTCTCTCTCTCTCTCTCTCTCTCTCTCTCTCTCTCTCTCTCTCTCTCTCTCTCTCTCTCTCTCTCTCTCTCTCTCTCTCTCCCTCTCTCCCCCTCTCCTCCCCCCCTCTTCCTCCGCCCCACCTTCATGTATTCCTATCGCCATGTACTCCTCCCTTTAGAAAGTAAAAGTAAAGTTTGGAGAGAAGAGTGGGAAGGAAGAATGGGAGATAAGAGAAGGATAAAGCGTGGAGGGAAATGAATTTTAGGAGAAGAAAAAGGAGTTGGGGCTTAATCCAACATGCAGGGCTCTTCTCCATCTCTCCACTTCCCTCTTTATCTGGCTTGCAGGGCTCTTCTCCATCTCCACTTCCCTCTTTATCTGGCTGGCAGGGCTCTTCTCCATCTCCACTTCCCTCTTTATCTGGCTTGAAGGGCTCTTCTCCATCTCCACTTCCCTCTTTATCTGGTTTGCAGGGTTCTTCTCCATCTCCACTTCCCTCTTTATCTGGCTTGCAGGGCTTTTCTCCATCTCTCCACTTCCCTCTTTATCTGGCTTGAAGGGCTCTTCTCCATCTCCACTTCCCTCTTTATCTGGCTTGCAGGGTTCTTCTCCATCTCTCCACTTCCCTCTTTATCTGGCTTATATCCCTCCGCCTCATTCCATATCCCTTATTCCTATCCATTTATCCACCTAACCTAATTTTATGCTTTTAGTTCCAAATTTTCTGGTTATTTCCAAACGCAAACGAAAAGAACATAAAAAAATAAGCTTCTCTGGCAAACTTCTATATTTATTTGTTTTTGTTATTGTTCATTGTTTATCTATTTATTTATATATTTTTAAGAAGAGGACCTTTGTTTTTTTTTTATCCTATTTGCCATCTTTCCGGGAAAGTTCGCGCCGCTGTTCCTGACCTTCACAGTTGTTTGTTGCGGTGTTCGCGCGTGGCCCGGCGGCGACCTTCACCCGATGCTCGGTCGCCTCCGCCACAGTCGGTACTTCATTATTGATTTTTCTCCGCGTTTCCCAGACTCACGTTCTCTGTGACCTTTCGGGCCGGAATGATGGGTGGTGGGTGGGGGTGGGGTGTGAGGGGTGGAGGGAGGGGGGGAGGGGGAGTGTCTGCGTATGTTTGTGCAGTACATAACGTGAGGGTCCCGCCCCCTATTTTCACCTTTTGTCTCGTAAATGTACCTCTTGTCTCTCTCTCTCTCTCTCTCTCTCTCTCTCTCTCTCTCTCTCTCTCTCTCTCTCTCTCTCTCTCTCTCTCTCTCTCTCTCTCTCTCTCTCTCTCTCACACACACACACACACACACACACGCACACACGCACACACGCACACACGCACACACACACGCACACGTACACACATTATATAATACTATGTATACCATTACAAGTGTTAACGTAGTAAGTCTCGACCTAAAGCAGCCGAGAACGTGAAGTGAAATTCGCTCCTGCGTATTTCTT